CTCCTTATGTCTAGTGGGATGTCACGAACCAACGGTATTGATGCGAAATTATTCATGCAAAATACCACTTTGAATCATGTTAAAAAACAGCTGAATTGGTTCCACTTCCTACCAAGTAATCCTATTACAAGCAAACCAGACAATTGGCTAAAAACGAAGTCCACTCTATACCCTATAAAATCTAAAAACAAAAAAGAGAGTTCAAACAGCTTCGAAAAAAAGGGAGACAGCCATTTGTATCGGAATACTGTTTTCAGCACTTTATTTTATAATTACAAAATTCCATACTTTCTTCTGAACTACCTTCATTTATACAGTTCCTTACCCACTCATACCTTGCCCACACTTATTTTTCTTTAACACATTAGTATGTTCTTACCTAAAAAATACTTCAGTAACAGACAAATAGACTAAATGTTTATACATTAACTATTCCTCCATGAATATTGTGTGCTCTGCTTTTCGTCCTTTCTTTTTCTTACACCTTTTTCAGCCTCCTGCAGATACTCCACCGAAAACAGAAATGGCACGGGTGACTTCGTCCTATACCGTTATTAAAGCTTCCGATATTCTGGAGGGATATAAGTTCGAAACTTCTGAAAGCCTCCAACTTCGCATGTATCTATTCTCGACCAACAATTGTATGTTGCAACGCTACCTCCATAAAGTGCGCCAAGTGTGATATTGATATGTTTCTTACGAAATCCATTTACATTCATATCTTATGAAATATCAACCCAGCTGAGTAATTTTCAACAGTGAAAATTGTAACTTCTTTAACAATTTGATCTTGCCTGTAAGCCGGAATGCCTCATGTAACAATGTTATTTGAGAATAAATTATTATTATCATTATTAGTAGGACAAAAGGCGCGCCCTGGATTCCACTTCCCGCCACCATTATGTCTGCTTGTGACTTAAGGCAGTATCGAGGCAATACTCATAGGATGCACAAATGACAATAAGAGACTGATTAACTGCAGTCCTAAACATTATTTTGTTTGTATCAGGCTCTTTATGGATGAGAACAAGTCAATCAATCAGTGATATTGAGGTTGTTTTATTACACTCACAATTCAGACTCATGTTTCTAATCTTCTTTTATGCTGGATTAACTATTCTACTAAGACAACCTACAACATGCTAACTCGGTTTTTTACATTAAAACTGTGTGGCAGGCATCGGATGATGAAAAAACTGACTGTAAAGGATATGGTTGTCATTTTACTTAACACTGTACTCTATATGCACTCTCTGTTCTTTTTCATTCCAACCTTGACTTCTCTTCCTTCATTCGAACCTACTCCACCTTGATAAATATCATAACCCATTGTTCTTTATTACTGCATTCTCTCCTCTGGAGCACCTAATCACACTTCACTCTTGCAATATGAGCTAGTATCAATTTAATCTAATAATTTATCATACCTCCATCGGTTCCACTAATAAATGTTAAGCATTGGTCATCGTTCATATCCAAATGCCTTGCTGCTCCTCGGTTTCTCTTTTTTTCTGTTCAGAGTCTTGCTCTGAGGGTGAAGCTATGTAACTTCTGACATCTGGAACAAGCTCCACGAACGCATTTTCCCAAGGTCATGTTTCGAACCAGGCGCCCCACAAGTCTACTTTATAACAACCATAAACTTAAAAAGCTGCATTCCATCAATACTTAGCTCGACCGAAACCCTAATACACTTTCCGTCGAGATTGGAACTGGTATGTAACGTGGACGCGATGCCATTTTGTAAAAATTCTGATGAAGACACATTCGTCTGAACGAATGAACTGCTATCAACTTTTTTAGATTATAATTACTAAACAACCCTGCTTGGGATGCATACTATGAACTAGTATATGTTGTAAATTGTAGATCATGTCTGTAAAAATGGCGTTTACCTGCCCTTGCAGAAATATATTGTTATTATTCTCAGTGAGAAGATTCAAACAACCAAAACATATCTGAAATAATATTCATTTTCTCGTATGTTGCTCGTGTCACGGTTATTTCAAATACATAATTATTTCAATTTTTAACAGTCTGTCAAACGTTCAATTCATTTGAAATCATCAAATTAAACTTTGTTAATGACATCTACAAATAAATGTTAAAAATGCCACTAGTAATTGGAGTTTACAACGCCTTAACCAGTAACACCTTTACAGTCGAAGTGTGTTAATTCAGCCAAATTAGAAGCCAGGAGTAGAATCAGAAGAAATATCTGGAAGGCCATCGGTATGTCGAAGAAACGTCTGGTTTAATCTGGCAAGTAGTTGAAATGGATGCGTAGCACGACGTACTCACTCGTGATCTGGTGCGGATGCGTGACGGAGCGCTTTCATCTAGGTGAGTCCAGTATAAATAACGCGGTTAGCATCACATTTCGAAGACTTACGGAGCGATTGGTTTTGGGGATTTGCCTCCACAATATAAAAAATATTAAGAACACTATCTACAAATCAAGTTTGCTTAATCATCTCTAAAACAGCAGTTTCTGTGTATTAACTCGTTCCAGAGAAACAAAGTAATTATATACAAACTTTCTGGACGGTTTTAGATGGCGCAAACAAAGTGATACTCTTTTTAGAAACTATTATACAGAAAAATCAACACTACAAATATCAGCTATAATGGAAGCATAAACGACTAGACTTGTACAAGGGTGGGCAATGATCAAGAAAAATCTTCGAAACATATAATATCTTACATAACGAAACTCAAACTCACAATGAAATGTACATTTCTGTACGACAATTACTAAATTTGGCATTAAGAGATGTAGATTTTATCAAAGTATTCCCGACAGGTCAAATTTGATATATAACTACATTTAATTAGATGGGTTGATATATAGAGTTCCTAGTCACAAAATAACAGTATGAGATTTGTGGTGGATCTCAGCAAAAGAGCCTACTCAAAATATAACAATACACAAACTTACCAATAATATACCAAAAAGGATTAACAATACAAACCTAGGCGTATGTTTGTAAGTAGATCTAAAGGTAACAAATCACAGTTAAAATATAAAAAGGTATATTATGCAACAAAATTATAAACATTGTTATAAAATGAATGTTAGTTGAAAGTTTCCTCCGAGATAACAACCACAAATAAGTTCATTTGATCAACAAAGTTTCCTCTGCATGTGATGGAACCAACAGGAAAATGAAGAAGAATAAATCCGGTAGTATTGTTTAATAATGATCCGTGCCAGAGTTCCAACGTAGTTTGGGAAGACCTATAAGGATGCTATAATACTATTATAATCTTCAATCAAAGGCCGTGGCCAATAAAGCAGAATAATAGACGGTGGAGATAGCGTTTATATTTCAAGAATCGCGGTGGTGTAAGCATGTTATACATATCAAAATAGATTCTAAAAATGATTGTTAATTAAACAATACAAATGTTATTGTGATATTTGTATGAAATAATGATTCATTTATACTTGATGACTGCCTGATTTCGAATTCTAAATACAATACATTCGTTTGTTCTCACCTAGTTCCGTTTGGCCTAAATGACGTTATTTCTAGGATTCTTAGTTCGTTTAATGACTCTGATCATCATAGTTTTCTATATTATTCGAGAGTTTAATTGAATAAATGCGATTTTCAAAAAGGGACACAAAGTGAGCATGATAGTATACATAAACTAAGTTCCTAATATTCTTGATATAAATGTGAAATATTGATACTTGAAAAACAGAAGAAATGTGGAATTTCTACGACTTAGGAAAGAAAGTAAATACGGATAACAGATGATGATTGTATTCATTCCCCCATAAAAGAAACCCAACCAAATACACTCTTTGATATACGTATTTTACTGGGATTTAATTATCAGCCAACAAATTTCTTACACAAATGAAATAGTGAGAATACAAAAGTAAGATGTTTACGGAACTTATACAAAACTAATGATGTATGTTCTACGGAAAGGATGTTATACTCGTAGCTGTAAATAATTCCCCAAAATCAATAGCTTTGTAAGTGTTTGACATTGGATGCTGACCACATTAGTTTTAGTTAAAGATACTACTAGTTTTCTAGTTTGACAACTAGCAACCATTAAAATCTATATTCGAAGCTTTCCCCAACCGAATGAAATCAGAAGTTAGATGCGAAGAGACGGGAAAGATATATTTGATACGTTATCAACATATTGGGAAACGTTTGCTCTAATCTAGATACCGAACGTAGGAGCTGTTTCTCACGCTGGTTCGAAACGTGATCTGGTGCGGATACATGACCGAACGCCTTCAGTTAAACAAATCCACTTAAACAATGTGGTCAGCATCCAATGTCGAACACTTAATGAGCTATTGATTTTGAGGAATTATTTACAGCTACATAGTGGATTCGTTTAGCTGAAGGCGCTCTGTCATACATCCGTACTAGATCACGTCACTGAACGGCGTGGGAAGCATCTCCTACGATCATTAGCCAGAAAAACGACAAGATAGACAATGTAATCACCAGTGGCAAAATCCACTAGAAAAAATTACAAAGAAGAGGACTTTAAGAAAAGTTGAAACCTTAACCGGATTAATTTCAGTTAAAGTAGGACAAGTATGCTTTTGGTAGAACAAATACTCAGAAGCAAAGTGAAATCACAACAAGTACTAAATCACTGCCCTTTTTTCAACATGCTCACGTAATTGTTGAAATGTTGATCTAGATGTTAGGACGATTTGCGATTCCCTATATTTCAGGGCAATTTATTTTCAAGGCTATTCCTTAAAGGTTCATCATTACTTAATTTCACTGTAGGATTCTTCCTATCATATTAAGTGAACAATTAATAAGATTAATTACCAGATTAAGTGACATTAACTCCATCTATGAGCTGTCTTAAAGATAGGACGAACCTTCGCGCAGATGCTCTCAGTCATTTATGTTGTCAGGTTTCAAATGTTAGGTAGTGTGATAAATAGCGCGGTAAACGAAAATTAATTGTGATTACGTGGTTTCGTGTTCAGGTTCGATAAACTCTCCCTGATGTTAGATAAAGGTGATTCGTCAATCAAAAATCAAATCAATTCAACAAGCCTCTCAAATTACGATAGTAAAAACGAGTGGAAATGCGGTGGGAACACTAAACTATTGCACAACAGCAATTATCTTAAAATTATAAGAGAAAGGAAAAAGAATAAAATCAAAGCCAACTTGAGGGATTCACGATATAACATAGGTTTGAATTTAAACCGAATTCTATGTCTTTTCAGTGGATCAGTGCATTAGAGAGGCAGGATTCACGGTAATTAATAATGATGATATCAATGACGCGTAATGTGTATATTAAATGTAACATGCAGTTAAGATATTTAATATGGAGCGATAACTTTTTGTCTTTGGAGAGGATTATGAAATTGGAGCCGTATCAACGTGCCAATCACTTTCCTGGTATGATTGAAATATGTCGCAAGGATCTGCTTACCAAAAATTTCTCAAGGTTTGAACTTTCTTGATCTTTTTTTTCAAAAAAGATTAAATGTCTATTTCAAGGTAAATTGCGTTCGTGGGGAAGTCACTTTGTTTCCCCTAGAGGTGGCTTTTAGATTCAAATTTCAGTGTATTTCGCACCGAAAAAACGAAGCATATCATATTAGACAATGATGTATGTTATCAATACTTGATTAACTCCAATTATTTGCAAAACGTTCATGGCTCTTTGGTTGCTTACGAGTTGAACTATACTTATCATTTCACTTCGACAATTAGGTTGTTGAATTCCGTTAGTTTACGAGTCATTCTCCTATAATATTAGTAGAATAAGGTTCAAAAATGATATTGGTTTCCTTAAAATGACAAATATATCCGTATTTATAAATTCTTAGCCTAAAGTAATTAATTGGAAATTAATAAGTCTTGAGTATTCGAAAATATACCTAAGGATTTATATGATCGATTCATGTGTTTTTTGTAACTGAAAATATGCAATACTTCAACTGATTTCTACAACTTACATGGAGTGAAAATCTTGGTGCACATTTGTGACAAATAATGAGCTTCTGAATAAAGTATGGTTAGACTTGAAATGTTGAATTTAAACATCTAGCAATAGGCTACTGAAGCCACTAGGTGTTGCTGATTCTTCCATGTCACAATGGAATTTAGTTTTGTGAAGAATGACAACGTATGTCTGCATAATTTATGACTGTAAGACTAGTGCCTGCTCGGATGTTAGATGATAAAGTGGGTAAAATCACATTTTTATCAAATGAAACGATATGCTCTTAAAGATAAAAGTTTTATTTAAGTATGATCTGAAAAACTATTTTTGAACATTTACTTTCTTATACTGAGCTTTCGAAATCTCAGTATATTCACAGAAAAACTATATGAAGTGTCTCACTGTTTCATTCCTACTGGCAGACACTTTTATTGAATCCTAATTTGTTTATGGTTGATTGAAACAATAGAGTTTGTAGAAATCTTAGTGTTCAAAAAGTCACTTTTTGGCTGTAGCACATTTGTGAGATGCTGACCATTTTATCAAAATTTTTTACTAACTTTCAAGCTAAGTGAACTCTTAAGTTTCAGCCAACCATTTTTATTATTTTGGACTTGTGTAATTGATATATAATAGTTATCTGTTAGTAATAAACTTGTCATAATCGTTTATTACTTTGTTTATATATTTCGCTAAACATATGTATTTTATGACAAAAAATGGAGTAACTGGAACTTTAGAACATTTACACTTGTTGTCTTGCTGTTGATTATAAACTGTATTTATGATTAAGTCGTATTACATAAAATAAGGATCGTATGTAATACTTATCAGAAAGTATTAGTAAAGTTATTTGAAAAGTGCTTTTATTCAGGTGCTTTCAGTAGCCGTAAACAGGTGGTAAACAGCGTTTAAAAATATTCTGGATAGGTTCATAACGCAAACCAGCTTTCTGTTTGTCTTCAATAGAAAAATTAATCGATCTAGATACAGATCTTTACTGGTAATTATATCTCGATTCAACCGTAACTAGTTACGTTTATACCGACTTGTTAAGTGGATGAACTGACTATTCTCCACTTTAGTTTCATACAAAACCCTACTTAAGTTTAAATCCAAAGTCTAATTAATTATCTATTGTTTGCCTTAACCAGAATGCAGAAGGCTAAACCAGACGAATACAATTTCATGCCAAATACATGGATCCTACCACAAGAATATGGATACTTTTCAAATTATGCAAGAAAATTATATCGACAAGGGTGTAATCCATGTTTTATACAAAAACCAGCTAATGGAGCTATGGGACACGGGTGAGTAAATGAAATAGTTATCTTTTTGTTGTCGTTGTTATTTTTATTGTAAAAGAATAGCTGTTCCAAGTTAATGATTGCTTGTTCAAATAAAGTAGGGATTTGAAATCAATATGTGGTTAGTTTGAACAGGCAAGTTACTAGTTTTAATTATGATGTTAATTTTTGTTAAAACTATACATCATCAATCGCTTGTGTGTGACAAATTTAAGAGACTCCAGGATATTTAACAAATTTGTTGGTACTAAGTTGAAGGACCTTATTCCGGTGCATTCATATTTACATTCTGAGTGATCATTTACTTAGTTGCAATAAGTTTAATTTAAATTTTATGCTGTTCATCAGACCAATTTTAATGTTTATTTACTGTACTAATCAAATTAAACCATAGCTTGCCCGAGATATTATATGTTTCCCAATGTTAACATCGAGTTGTCTTTGTCACTATACTCCACAAAATAAACCATCCTATACAAAATATTCCTAAAATATTTATTAATTGATGTGGTTTCAAATCTAAGTTTTTATCAGCCTTGAATACTCGGCAACTTGCCAAATAATTTTATATATGCACTAAAATACACTTATAGTACAGTTTGAACATTCTTATGCCAATAATCTCGAATCTCTTAACCGGTCAATTCCCTTATTTGATATCATTCAGTCGATTATTTAATCAAATAAATGTTATTAGATCAGTCAATGAGTAGTTTTGGTGGTTTTATCAGTGAACAACGTCCATTAACTTATGGAGTTTATTTCAAGTCGAAGTTGCTCACAGATTGATTTCAACTGATGATTTGTAGTGAAATGGATGGTGATGAAAAATGAATATGTGGTACAATCTGATTTCAAAAAACCTGTATATCAAGCACTAGTCGTGTGGACAGTGATTAGTGGCTTCTAAATGAACTCGCGACCTTGTGGAGTTCAACTATGTATGTTATAAAGTATTCATCGACGAATGCATTGAATCATCATATGCTAGTTTGGCGACCCCCTGTGATATCTGAAATTCCTGCATTTAACCTCTCGTTGGGTCTGTGACACGAACGCCTGAGTTCCATACTAAAATAAAATAAGTGTTAGGTACCCTGTCTTTTTCAAATGATCTGCAGTTAAAACTAATCTGTAACAAAATTCTAAATAAACTCAATTCTGATTATTAGGTTAACATGAAAGCTGTAAGTTTAAATAATTTGTAACTAGTACACTGGGATTAAATATTACTGGAGTACATTATTACATTTGTAATTTCATAAATATGAGGAGTACTTTATCAGTCTATAATGTAAGTGATTTTTAGTCTTAGCCACACTGGTACAGCCAGACTACTTGGTTCTGTTCCACACGAGAACCGCGATTATTAATTAGAGAGTAGGATGTTTTCACCTCACAAGTACTGTGTTCTCTGAGCTGAATGGTTCAATTTCTGAGATATGTGCTGATATTTTTTTCTAGAAAAATAAATATTTTGTGAGAGAATTGTTTTGCTCTAAAATCCTCCAGTTAACCTAAAGATGTTCCTTATTATCCCAGAACACTTTCCAATCACTAATTCATAATGTTGTCACAAAGTGACAACATTATGAATGTCACTAATGTTGTTTGGAAACTACTACCTTACACATTTTACAAATTACATCATCTTATTGAAATCACTAGCAGGAATTTATTTGATTTCAAGTAAGATGGATAAATTTGTATTGATTTCAGATCATTTAAAACTTTTGCCGCGTGAAATATTGTCGATGGAAGGAAGTATGTCTATATTGCTTCTTACTAGATTTAATAAGTTATTCTTGGGCTAATCTCCAAGGAAACTTTACAGTGATCATTTTGGCAAAGGAACGTATCTGTTTATACAAAAAGTAGTTCATCTCAGTAGTTTTCAAAAATTCTTTTTTCTAAAAAATAATCATTGAGATTTTCATATTACTTTGTTTAAAGTTGTAAAAGAAAGCGAGAAAATTAGTCAAAGTACATCTCTCTTTTAAGGTCATTTCAGGATAATAATAATTAAAAACTGCAGTCAAGTTCACAAATAAATAGTAAATTAGCATCCCCTACAGATTACAGACCCATATTGATTCTGAAAAGTGGAAAAAGCTCTTCGGTAAACTCCGCTTCAAAGTATTAACCTAATATATTGTACTTTTTTTCAAAAACATATATTAACATATATTGTTAGCTTCTTACTTCTGGGTATCTAATTTTGATTGAATCTGTTATAACTTGTAATGGTACCGCCAATTAGAGACCAGTGAATTATCGACCATAACAAAGGACGCATAAACCTGTACGAGCAGTTTAAGGTTCTTATCAGTCCTTCTTCCTGCCTAGCCCTACCTGTTGAGTTCAGAACACCAATCTCATCCTTTGCGGTATAAATTGTGTATTTCAAACATACCGGGTTCATATACAAACTAAAGTGACAACATCGTACCATAAAATAGAAAATGTCATTTATCCAAGATATAGCCAAAAGTGACTGTGAACGTGGAAGATTGTAAGTAATAGACTGGGTATAACTCAAGAGCGGTAAATCGTATAATAATGGTCTATGGATCAAAATAAATCTTATAATAAGAGAAACATGAATATGCACAAGTTAGTTACTTAACAATTATACAATGAAAATATATCTATCGTATTGGTCCATTAATAGTTCTCAAACGTTACCATTCATAATTCTAATCGGGTTATAACAGAACCAATGACTGAGTTGGTTCATTTTGATTTCATGTTTGTACATCTCCCTTGAGCAACGAATGCACACAACAAATAAGAAAGATAAGTAGCTGTAGATAAATAGATTTGCACATCTAGTTGATACTGTAAACTTAATTGATTGCTAAGATGGTTTAAAAAGAGTAATCTACCGAAACTTAATCAATTTACCATTTACTTTGAAATTTCGTTTATTCTATACTTTTGGAGGCCATTTTCAAACAAATGAGAATTATTATGCTTAACTCGTAAATTTCAGATAATTCTGTGTAAAATTTTCGTTTAATATAGGCAACCGACCGATCAAATTTTCTTTCTTATAATTTACATCACTAACTGACCCTAGTTAGTTAGTCATCAGAAACCACGAGGGACTGAACAGCTGCTCCGTTCTAGTGTTGAACTCTTCTGTAGGAGGTGCCCATCCCAGCCAGGAATCAGACCAAGGACCTTCAGGTCTTGAGATGAGTGCTGGATTATTAAAATACAGAGTCGGGATACATTATTTTTCATTTTTAACTTCAACCAGTCGCCGATATTATGTAACTATGGGTAACTGCCTCAGACCTGAATTTAAAGTTTGTTTAATAAATAAATAATTGAATTCTATACAATTATTCTACTTATCAAAACTGATAAATGCCTATGGATAAATTCTTAATTTCTTGAAATCTTATTATTGTCAAATGTAATAACTACACATACACATTAGTATAAGTTTATCACGCTGGTCAAAAGCTAGTTGAAAGATGAAAAATCTTTGTTTAACGGCTATTTTCAAAAAGCTTACTTCAGGCTAGATAACTTTCTACCAATGAGTTGCAACCACATATACACGATACTATAAAATGTGTAAGATTCACAAAAAGATATAGACCAATTTTGAGGCAATGGGAATTAAAGTTTGAGATTATGGATTACAGTAATATCAGTGGTAATTATCAATATCATGACAGGACAAACCTCCAAAGCTAATTTTATTATTATCATCATCAATGATAATGATGATAAATATTTTATCCATTAGCAATTATCTGGACTCATTAGCCTAATGAACAGATGGTTAATATTTTAAATGAAGTTTGAGTTCCTCATCATTGGAATCCAGGTAAGTTTAATTACACAGTGCCAATTGATGAACAGAAAAGTGTCTCATGAACAACATTGTTAGCCAGAATCTAAAACCATAGTCAACTAAAGCTTGCGAATCTTGTAAATCATATTAAAGCCAGTCAAGCCGTGAACGTACTTTATGAGCTGTGAAATAAAAGTCATATCATAATGACAGATAACTGTGAATTGTTTACTTTTATTACACTGAATACTTTGATAGTTTGATCCAAGTCATTCTACGTAATAAGAGGCTGGTAAACCTTGGTGATTGAACGCTATATTCGGATCCTAAGCTATTCTCTTAACCCCCCCCCAAGCTAGAACTACACAGCGGCTTTAACACGAGAGGAAAGGCGCAAAATATACGAGAAGCACTTTACTCCAAAGGTTCATTTACGTACAGAAAATATAGGGTTTTTATAGTATTTTAGAAGTCCTTGGGTTTTCCTGAAAATTCTAAAATACTACTAAACATAGTAGCAGTGTAGTTATCAGCCAATCAGAACCTCTACATGTGACTTTTCATCTTTCGCGATGTTTCTTACAAAACTTCTAATCAAACGCTGATTGGATAAAATGCTTCCTAATGTATCCTGAGCTTGTCATGTCGATTGCCAGAAGTTTTCAGGATCATCCCAACAGAGGAGCAGTAAATTAAGTTTATGAAATAGTTTCTACATTGTTCTGACTATGTATTTCATTATTATTATTGTTACATTTGAAATTTATCGGGCTGCAATCATATTGCATGTTTCCTGAGGGAAATGGAGAGATTTATGAATGAGTTATACATATATCTTTTATTCAGGTTAATTAGTAAAAGCTTCTTACTATCGGCTTTCCTACTTAAGCAACTGGATTAGACACGTTTACAGAAAGTGAATATATCAACAGTGAACTTAGATGACCGTATAATTTAACGCTTTTTTAGTAATCAGTTGTGACTAATAGAGTTTAGCCATAGTGACTGTAAGAAAGATATAACTGGTGGATAACACTGTAATATGACTATAAAATATGGTGGGTTGAAAGGCTTTGAAAATGTCAACTATTAAATTCCAGAAGGGGTTTTGTAGAGATTTAGTATTTTCATAGTTGAAAGCGTCAGTCAATTGAAGCTAGTTCACCAAGGAAATCATGCTAACTAGTGACTGACTTCAAGAGTTAAATCCAGGAGTTCTAGTGAGAAGCAGTGACCAGTGGAGTTCAAACCACGTCTGTTGTGAGATAGGAATTCACTGACGACAATTGGTGAACAGTTGCCCAACTTTGTGGATTGGTTGGAATTAGACATAAATACCATCGAATGCCGACTCAGTGATCTGTCGGTTATATGCTCTGGCGCGAGATTGGTAGGTCCTGGATTCGAATCTCGCGAGGCGAGGTCGTGTATGATAACTGCTGAGGAGTCTCACAGTAGGACGAAACGGTCGTCCAATGCTTCCAGGTTTTCCTTGGTGGTCTAGCTCCAATTGACTCACGCTTTCAACTATTAAATTCCAACCTAATTTGTATAAATGGTACTGTAAATTTGGCATAAACAATGTGATTCTCTCTCCTCGAGTCATTTTGTCTCTACGCTTAGTATTTTAGTTACAACATTAGTGTTGTCTAATTATGTAACACACTAGTACTCAATCATCTGACGATTCAGTTTATAACTAAATATAGACCACAACAGCAGTACACTATGGAAAAAAGTAAAAAGAATAGAAGTATGCATAACAATATATGGTATGCCAGATATGTCTGTGTTCACTCATCGGCCAATCACAGGGTATTTGAGATGGATATATCAGTTTTCTATTACCACTAATGATACTATTATTAATCCTGACACTGATATTCATCTTGATAGTTTCCTCTCTTTATACTGATAGGGAGTGATGATTTGAAATGATGCACAAATATATCAGAATTTGCTTTGATTATGATTGGAAAACTAGCCTTGAGTTGAACAAATCTTTGCAAGCCTTCTAAATATCGTTATTAATTAAATTTTGAGTTATCTCGTTGTTAATATTTAGGACTGGATTTTGAATGGTCTTTGTTGGTATATATGTACATCTCATTCAGATTGAATCATTATGATGATCTTGTGATAAGTTTTTATTAGAACAGATGGAATGCGGCTAGCAGTATAAACAGGAGACAGCGTTTCGTCCTATTTAAGACTCGTTGTATGGACAAACCTGGATATCAGTTTTGATGCTCAATGATGTTCTCAGTGTAAACATCAATACTGGGATATAGGTAAATTCATCTGAAGAGTCCTAAATAGAACAAAACATCCATCATTTATTGTACTTTTATCCATAATTCAACTCTTCTATACTGTTTTTTAATCAAATTCTTAATATATTACTAATACAATGCCTATAAATATATGCAAATGTTTTTGACCATTTCTCATTTGCTTTCTTCCTCTCATTACCTTTATCTTTTTACAGAATTCATTTATATTGTGATATGAATAAAATATCAGGAAATATAAATGATGGCATAATAAGTGTTATCCAAGAATATATTGAACATCCATTACTTATTGACGGATATAAATGTGATCTAAGAGTTTATGTTCTAGTTACATCATGTGACCCATTAAAAATTTTCATATATAATGAAGGTTTAGTACGTTTAAGCGCTGAGAAATATATTAAACCAAGTGAACCAAATGGAGTAAGTCTATAACTAACCAATAAAAGTTATATTCTGTATGAAATTTTCTCGTAAATACGGAATCTAGAATGTGTCACGCCTGACCTAGTAGTCCCAACTTGCACGAAACATAGGTCCATAGTATCTTGGAGACTATTTCAATCTATTTAACATTTAAATATAATGCAATGCTAGATCGAATCATCTAGAATAGCTACCACATATCTAGTTGATTATTAGAATTTGATCAACACTAAGGACTAGGTGAATATAACATCCGTCATTACTCAGCGACAGATTAATATAAATATCTATGTTTTACAAGTCAATCACGGCAGAATAATTTTAGTAATAACTTCCCATTCTTTGAAGCTTGGTAATGATGTTTCGAATCTATAGGAATCATCAATTCCTTCAAGATGACGAGCGCTAATTATCATGAAATCTTGATTGAACACGATTCTCTCCCAACTAATTCCAATCACTTAACATGTGCAGTCGTAGATGTTTAATATTGGTTCTTAAGGTAACCCAACATGCATAAATATCCACGTTGTTTTGCCATGTATTATCATCGGTTGAAGTTGGGAATAAACTTTTGACTTTCTTTTGATCGTCTCAGTACTTTGGAGTTTGAGTTAAGAGATGTTAGAAGCATAATGTTAGTTTGGTTGAAAAGTATCATGTTGTGCTCACTCACTGGATCAAGTATTCTCTTGACACTTCAATTTTCTTGGCTATAGCGGAGTCATAACAGTTCCTAGATGGTATCTTTTATTAGTGTTAGGAAGTTTATGAAAACTACTGAATTGAAAAGTTTAATCAAGGATCTGTGGAATAATATGATGCACATTGCTAAAGAATCCCAAGATGGGACGAAAGAACTGTTTGTGGTCTCCATGGTTTATAATAATTATCCTGTTGAAGCTATGTCTCCTTCTTTATAAATAGTTAATACCCTGACACTTTTTTTGAGTGGGCTCTTCGGTTTTCGATTGATTACAGGAAGGACAAAAAGGTGGATAACAATACAATCTTCAAATAGAAAACCTGGTTTTGGTAGATCTTCGTTACAACTGAGGCCTAGACATCATGTATATCTGTCATTGGTCACTGGTCAATGATGGATTTTTATACATTTTTATCTATTATCCCTATATATTAACATATATTCCGAGAGATAATTCAGGTTCTATTCAGAATCTGTGATCAGTTGTGTTTTACCATATCGGGGTTTGAGTCAGTTACCCGTCAATGTCATTGGAACGTGGTTACGTAATATGAACTAGTTAAAGTAAACAATCCATTCCATTGGATTTTAACTCAAAGGTTCGTAAGTTAAGCACTCCCTGGAAGACCTGAATGCTATGGGTTAATTTGTCAACCAGGTCATGTATCGGCACTATTAGGGAAGCTCATACTATGACAAAACAGTTATCCAATATGTTGTGACTTTATAAAAGAAGGCCGTTGCCGATTCGTTATGATTTTTGTGTCCGGCATTTTATCACGTGAATTATCCACCAATCAAAATACGACTTTTCTAATGTTAATACTGTACCAAATCAACGACGTTCAACTGGTATCAGCAGTCTAGCGTCTTTATTGGTCCCTTGTCCGCCTAGCCCTTCCGATTGAGTTCAGAACACCAACGACAGCTCCTGTTATGCGAATCATTTATTGCAAACATACTCGGTTTATATACCAAACAGACAGACTACATCACACCATAAAATAGAAAATAATATTTGTACAAGATCAAGTCAAATGTGGCTGTGAACGTGGGATACAATAATCAGTAAACTGAGTATAATTTAGGAACAGAAATTCGTATAATAATAATTCATAGATCAAAATGAAGCTTATAATAAGATGAATATAGATATACACAATCTAATTACTCAAAAGTTATACAATAAAAATATATATAGAATAATAATCCATCGACAGGTCCCGGAAATTACCCGTACTTTCTTTATCACTAAGATATAACACAATGATTTCTGGTTTTCAGTGACTATCTAACTGAATTCAATTTGTTATCTTCATAGTTGAAATCATGAGTCAATTGAAGCTAGACCACTATGAAAAACCTGGAAGCACTAGACGGCCGTTTCGTCTCATTATGGGACCCCTTAGTGGCAGTGCGCATCCACGATCCCGCCTCACGAGATTCGAATCCAGGACCTACCAGTTTCTCACCAGAGCACTTAACCGACAGACCACTTAGCCGGTATCCGATGGTGTTTATGTCTAACTCCAACCAATCCACGAAATTTGAGCAACCGTTCACCAATGGTGTGCAGTGAGTTGTTATCTCACAACAGACGTGGTTAAACTCCACTGGTCTAACTTCAATTGACTCATGATTTCAACTATGAAAATACGGAAATCTCCACAAAACCCCTTCTGATCAATTTGTTATGTAAATTATACATATTATATGTTATTTTTCCTATGTAAAAAAAAGAAACAAACCTTTTTTTACATTCCCATTTCTAGGATTCCATTTATCGACAATTAACTAATTATTCTATAAATAAACATCATATTGAATATCATCGTTCCCCTGATGATATCTCGGGTAGTAAACGTTCATTTACATTTTTCAATCATTATATACAAAAAGTGAAACAATCTAATCCATATATTATTTGGGATAAAATATATGATTTAATTATTAAGACAATAATTATAGCATTACCCCATCTAATGCATTTCTATCGTATCTCAAGGCATCAATCATCAAATCAGAATCATACTACTACTACTAATAATAATAGTAGTAATAATAGTAATAATAATAAGCACAGTTCCAAACAGTCTGGATACCATCAAGGTAAACAATATTCAACAATGAATAATAAACAATCCATGCTCAATAATCATCCTAAACAATCATCTAAGACAATGTCAACATTAACATCGTTTATACCATCAACTATACACAAATCTAAAGTATTCAATATGAATTCTAATAAAACATCATTTATGTATTCAAATTTATTTGAAATTTTAGGTTTTGATATATTAATTGATGAACAATTAAATCCATGGTTAATTGAAGTGAATCGTTCACCAAGTTTTAATATAGATCAACAATTAGATAAACAAATTAAATATAATTTATTAACCGATACAATTCGTTTATTGAATATTAGGTTAGTTTTTTGTGATGTGAATAATGATATAGTTAAGATCATGAGTCAATTGAAGCTAGACCGGGAAGCACTGGACGGCCGTTTCGTCTTATTGTGGAAATCCTCAGTGGCAGTACGCATCCACGATCCCGTCTCGCGGGATTCGAACCCAGGACCTATCAGTCTCGCGCCAGAGCACTTAACAGACAGACCACTGAGCTGGCCGGCATCCAACAGTGTTAATGTTTAACTTCAACCAATCCAATTCCATTGTACTGAGGTAGATATCTGTCTCTACCTGACATGGATTAGTTCTATTGGCCACCCTCTTGTGAATAATGATAATTTATTTTGGTTACGTATTATTATATTTAAAATATTAAGTAGTTAATTAATCTACTACTGGAGTGTTTAAATATTGATATTCTTAGCTGTTTGCTATAACCCTCAGACTACTTCTACATATTGATTTGAATAATACAGAAAAGATAGGAAATGTATGGGTTTTACTCTATGGTTATATATACACAAAGAGAGAGACGGATTTGATCTTGGTCTTCTAGGACTTTCTGGAAACAGGCTAAATGAAGTAACCGGATAGGTGATTGATTATTTAAACAAAAATGAGACAGGTGATCCTTCTTTTTTTTCTTTTTTGATATTTCTAAGAAATTTCTATTCACAATACTGTTTGGATAAATCGTTTCTATGTTTCTAGTGACTTTGATAAGTGATATTTTTTGGACTCCTCAATAGTAATTTGTCGGTAAGTCGTCAATAATCAATGTACAGTCAGGGATGTGTGTATCAACGCTGTTTAAATTGCCATACCATGTGAACAGCACAAGGAGAAGTAGACCGAAGTAGTTGACAGTATAAATGATAGTCAAAAAGAAATCAAACGTAGGGAATGTCATTTCAGAAGAAAAATGAATTAATAAAAAGTGTATACAATAAATTTGAAACTTTAAGACAAGAGAGGAGAGGACAACGAGTGAATGGATCTGCACCATCGATATAAATTCTGATCCATGTCACTTAATGTCTATAATCATTGGTCGGGATAATTGGATGGACCCCAGGTAGGTAGTTTGTATGTACCAACATAACTCAGATCAACAGTCAATAACTTTATGGAATAATTCTATGTGTTTGGTTTAACTGTCCCTAAATTCCATTCAACCTGTGCCTACGCCACCGAACATCTTGGGTCGGAGTAGTTTCAGTAAATTCTTTCCGCAAAATGTTTTCATTGATGGTTACTCTGGATGGTGAAGATTAAATAGGTATTTGATGGTCAGTTTATTTAAATAACCATACGTGTGTCTTTCGCGACTATAAAAAAATTATGGTTGAGAATGAGATGTAGGATTGGAGATCGACAGAATAAATCAGTTTTTCAGCCTGTCAGCTTCGAATCAATGCATTCATCAAGATATACAGTTCAGCGTTCGGTCAGTTAATGTATTACGTCAATGACAGCATACATGACAAGCTCTTATCCATATTAGTGTTCAATGAAAGATTGCGTTGTACAAAGAGGGTTAAATCAACCATAGTAAACAAACAACCTGATATGCACATGTTTCGATCCAGACTGCTCAACACTTCACCACAGAAGTGTTAATGAGGAAATTAATAAGATGACAATAAAAGCACGAAAAGTGTAATGGGATTTCAAAAAAAATACAAGCAGAATAAAAGAATATAGATGATATCAAATTGCAATGTGTCCAAGGTTTAGTGAAAAGTGTTATTTCATGAATATTACCATTATTTTGTAACTCTCACCTTGTTAATATTTCCTTTCGTTAAGATGAAATGTGTAACAACTTCAAACAATGCTTGGTTTTACTATATCCTAAAGTTGTCTGATTAGTTATTTGTCTGTTTGACTGAATATTCATAATTAACTGACCACTGTGTAGTGACTACTGCCATGCATACCAAATCCTTCTTAGTGCATATCAAATTCTGTTGATCAAGTTTCAATGTAGCCACTAGTCTAAGTGACTCAATATTGAGTGTACTATGTTGTGATGTCAAATGATGGTCGAAGGTAGTCGACAGGAAACTGTATATATCATTTTCGCTCTATTTGCCGCTTATCAGCAGGGCGTGCTGGTAATCTTGATCCTCCCCGCAAAATTCAACCTTGTGTTATCTAGCTTCAGATTAAGAAACTTTAACACGGAGCTATTTGGGCCACGATTGACCTCCTTTAGGACTGAGATATATTTTCAATTATTTGATTTGAAAAAAAATAACCCCAGACTCACACATCAAAATTTTTCTAATTAAAATAATTTAACTAGACAGTTTTAAGTCTTGGGATTGAATCTACCGTGGAGCATTAGTTCCATCAAGATTACAGGTACATCTTGTTGATGAGTGCCAAATAACACCGAACTTAAGTCTAGGATTTCTTGTCGACTACTTACAATCATCACCTTAAATGACTGTATATTCACTGACTGATATCAGCTATCCTTTTTCATTATGACTCACTACGATAACTTCCCACGCATATAATTTATCGGTCTTTTTTTCAGACCATCAGATAAATCTCGTGTAGAAAAACAACAAAAGTTAACCACAAGGAAACGTTTATACAATAGTCACTCTGTACAAACACAAAATTGGATGTATAAATCAGATCTCAATATTCGAAATGATAAGATTCATAAACATATCGACAAGAATCGATCGTCCATCAAAAAACATACAAACCATGAATTGTTTCATCGTGATAATGTCAATTTAAAAACAAATCACCAATCACCTTTCGCATATCAATTGGATATTGATTATTTAAAATTGATGAATGATCAAGATCAGATGGAGGGTAAAAAGCTAAGTTTAAAAATTGATCATTTAGTAAGTTTGAGTTATATTATTATTATTGTTTTGAAAGTTGGAATTATGAATCCATTTTTGACTAGATCACCGTTGGAAACTGGGGGATACTAAACAATTGGTTATTCCTAGTATGGAACTCCTTAACAGTGTGTATTCACGATCTGAGGATTTTGTTCTGTTTTTATAGAATATCTAGTTTTTGTAATCAATCAATAAACTTATATTTACAGATTGTGTTTATTGACTGGTTTGGATTTTGTGTTAGTTACCATTTGTCAAAAATATGTATCTTTAGGAATCATAGAACTACTTTTTTCCGTGTTAATAAAATGGTGTATCACACAATGTTACTATTCGGGTGTTATAATCGAGCTTTGACTACTCATATCTAAATATCAATATAACAGTGGACAAGTAATGTAATGTCTTACCACAAAATATTGCTTCTTCCTGATGGTATAGCAGTTTGTTATGTTTGTAAAATAAACTGCTATCTATAAGCAGAAATGACTGGTGATTAGCAGTAAAATTCAGGTCGGGCGTTACATTCTATTTGAGACTCGTCAGCTGGATGTACCTGCATCGCAACACAAAAATGAATTAAGCTTCACCCTACTGCACAATTTACTGTCTATCTGAACTTAGTGGCTAAGTGGATAACGTGATGAAGCGAACAGTACTGGAATCAAGTCTCAGAGTAAACATCAACTCATATTTAGGTACATCAAGATGGCGAGTCTTAAATGGAAAGAAACGTGAATTCTCGGTTCCACTGCTAGCCACCATCCATATCTGCTCATAACACTTGTGACTTGAGGCAATATCGAGGCAATCTGCACAGGATGAACGTACGCCAATAAGAGACTGATCAACTTCAGTCCTAAACGTCAATGAGAAGATTCAAGTAAACACCATAAAAATGAATTAAACTGTTATGTTACTAGTTTTGTGGAACAAGACTGAAATGATTCAATACAGGGAACAAAGCTAGTCTGTTAAATGAAGACTTACTTGTGGACAGAACACTGATCAAAATATATAAAGTTGCATATCATTTTAAATATTTGGTCAATAAGTAAATAATAAACCATTGAGAAAACAAAAGACAGTTAAAAATTTATTTTCTATTCCAACTGTTGTGGTACTTTGGAAGAAACGTATTTTATACAGTTTTTGAATGGACTTGGCAGTCTGCTATTACATTTACATAGACAAAGGGTTTGGAAATTCAAGATGATTGTCAGTAAAATTGCGTTTTCGTCTGATTCTAACAGAAATTTTTGGCAAACAATGCATTCCCCAACACAAAAACAGTTTCGATTATCTAGCAACAAAGCATAGTAAATATTATATGCAGTCCGTTAAATCAAATGAGCAAATTGCAGAGTGGGAATAAATACAACGTAGTTAAAGTACGTGTAAACTTTGAGAGTATTTGACAATATTTTATAGAGTATGCACACCGGTTTATCAATTATTCATTAGTGCTGACTACTTACATTGTTTGTATGGATTCGATAAATATGGTGTCAAAAAGTTTTTGAATGATAAGATGATATCATCTGTACGGGTTGTGGCGATTGTTGAGTTTTTATTGAGATCACAAACCAATCAATCTGGAAGCATTGGTTGGCCACCTCGTCCTAGTATGGGACTCCTCGGAAGTGTTTCGAGGGTTTCAATGGTGGTCCGTCATTGATCGGCTCATGATCTCAATAAAAAATGATATCAATTAGTAAGAACGTACTGAAAAGTTGGTCATGCATTCATATCAATGGTAAATTATTTCTTTCTGAGTTATATTGTCTAGGCCTAATGTATTCTAGTACACTACTCTGACATTTATTTGGATGATTTCACCTCACTGTAGTGATACAGTGTAGCATTCTATGCATATTCAAGTACCAGACTCCACGTTTCTTATTATTGATTAAGGTTTAGATAATAAATTCACGATGGTGAGACTGAACTGGGTGATAGAGTTTACAATCCCGCTAGGCTTGATGCTTGAACAGTATACTATACAGATATTAAATCACGTTATATCAGACGCACGATTGACGACCAAGATAGAGAATCAGAATAACGCTAAACAATACTTGACTCCACAAATTTACAAACAGTCACTCTTAGTAAGTCCTCAATACAAGTCGTTAAAGAGAGGAAACGACATATTTAATATTCAATACACTGTATGCCTGTTTGTCCACAATAGTGACTAATCACATTTACTTTCATTTCCACTCATCGACGGTGACCTTGTACTTACACAAATTGACATATCGACCAATCAACAACCGAGACGTTAACACTTATTGGTTCTCGCGCTCCTTCTAATCCAGTGACTAATCAAAAGATGATAGAAAGTAGATCAATTCTCTATCGTATCCAATTAAATTACTAATCAAAACTCATACAATAATGTATTTGAGTTGTCTGACAACAGAGCAACATGAAATTACGATATGTATATGACTTGGTTATATGTGATACAAAACCCAGAGTATTTGGGGAATAGTTAATTCATTATAAATCTAGAATAATAAGACATTTGACTATTTATGAATCAAACAAAAGCTTATAAATGGGGGAATAGAGAAAATACAACATTCTAAGCGTCTACTAATAATTATAGAATAAAATTTTAAATAATAATCTTTCATATTATATACTTTTATACTATTCAACTCACCATACATTACTTTATAAAATATTTGCTAAGAAAATTAATGATTATGAAAATATAGTTGAAATCATGAGTCAATTGAAGCTAGATCATCATGGAAAACCGGGAAGCACTGGACGACCGTTTCATTCTACTGTGTGACTCCTCAGTGACAGTGCGCATCCACGATCCCACCTCGCGGGAGTAGAACCCAGGACCTATCAGTCTCGCGCACGAGCCCTTAACCACTAGACTACTGAGCCGGCCAGCATCTGACAGTGTTAATGTCTAACTTCAACCAATCCACGAAACTTAGCAACCATTCACCAATCTCCTCAGTGAGTTGATATCTCCCAACAGACCTGATTGAACTCCACTGGTTACTGTTTCACACTCGAACTCGAGCAAATACCTCATGGAGCCAGTAACTAGTGAGCATATGATCATTATCCGAAGGGAGTTTTGTGTAAATTTTAGTAATTGTTATATAGTTGAGATCATAAGTAGTCTAGCTTCAATTGACTCATGATCTCAACTATATAACAGTTACTCAAATCTCCACAAAACCCCTTTTCTGATTATGAAAATAAGTCATTGTTTTTTAAAATTTATTTTCTGTAACTAATTAGAAACAACAATTACATGGAATACGTCAACAATTATCAATGGAATTTTATGAACATCATAATTGTGGTAATTGGCATCGAATATTTCCATCTAATAATTCAAAATTACAAACAAAATATGCATCATTAATTATGACAAGTTTTAAACAATTCTTACATAGTAATCAAAACGATCTGTTGAATGAAATAAAAACTACTTATTTAAATCCAATAACTGTAAGTAAACAAAGGAATTGTGTGTTTACAGAGTTTATTTAATGTGTATATTTGTTTACTGTAATGTCAGAAGCGGTTTTATGGAGATTTAGTATTTTCATTGTTGAAAGCGTGAGTCAATTGAAGCTAGACCACCATGGGAAATCTGGAAGCACTGGACGGCCGTTTCGACCTATTGTGGCAGTGGCAGTGCTCATTCACGATCTCGCACTCGAGAGATTCGAACGCTATCTGGTCGACAGTGGGCATGGTGTTGATATCTAAAATTCCTTCAAGATAGTGGATCAACAAAGAACATTAAATTTACTATGTTTTGCTGAGGCAATTGCGCACTGCTGAGGAGTCCCATAATAGGACGAAACAGCCGTTCAGTGCTTCCAGGTTTTCTATGGTGGTCTACCTTCAATTGACTCACGCTTACTGTAATGTATTTTATAAGTATTAAATCCATGTAATATTGTGATGTATACTATATATGTTGACAGATATGAGTAGTATGTAGCACCAATCTTAAGTGGAATGCTTGCTAGTATAAGATTGAATTGAAGAGAACAGGAAAGGTGTTATGTCCCGATAACAATAGTGAATGGTAACTTTGGGATCAACTTATGGACCAGTATTATGTATATATTTTTTATCGTATAATTACTAAATAGCTAAACTATTCATATTCGTGTTCCTCTTATTAAAAGCTTTATTTTGATCTATAGACTATTATTATACGATTAACCATTCTTGAATTATCCCTAGTCTATTAATTGATGCCTCCCACATTCACAGCCACATTTGGCTAAATCTTGTACAAATGTTATTTTCCATTTAATAGTACGATGCGGTCTGTCTGTTTGATGTATAAACCCAGTATGTTTGAGAATAATGATTCATATTGCAGAGGCTCAGATTTGTGTTCTGGACTTAACTGACTGGGCTAGGCAGATAGCAGGACCAAGTAGTGCTCTAGACTGCTCGTACGGTTTTCGTGTGTCACTTTTCCAATCGATTATTTGCTGCTCCCTGATTGGCGGTCTTATCACTCCATACATTAACTGGGCATCCACTCGGCCACAAGTTATGGCAAATCGAAACCGAGAGAAATTGTAATAACAAGAGAATTGAAAGAATCATGAAAATATGTAGGGGACAACTGAAGGTAGATGTACAAATAATGTGTTTAATGTCTAGTTCTCATATTTTATGAAGACACTGTAATTTTGCACAAGGACTTCCTTGATAAGAGGAAACGGCCATTCACTGCTTCCAGGTTTACATTAGTGGTCTAACGTGATCTTAATTTAAACCTAACAATCTCCACAACCCTCTACAGATAATTTTGCATTTTAAAAAAATTAGTTTTCCTCCCTTGAGTTTTCTATTACTACCATGAATTCAAGATATCTTCAAATTTCCATAAATGCACTACCATAAAATTCAATATTAACACCAGTCTTAATTCATGAGTATCTCCTAAGATTTCAGTACTAAAGAAGCAGGTCTGTTTGAATTCCAATACAAAGTTGGTTAGAATAATAAATCATGTAACAATACAGTTCCAACGTAAGATAACATATGTTGAACAGTTAACTCCAGTCGGTTAGTACTACTAATAATATCAGATTATAAAACATTGTTATATCGGGATTAGTTTAAAATTTGCATTCTTTGTCATTGAAATGTTGAAGAAGATTTGTAGCTCATGTAGATGTTTCTGATGGAGTTTTGTTCTCTGAGAAAACCATCTAGCTCAGAGAAGAAAACTCCATCGAAATTCGTTGTCCTTCTTTTTCCATGTGATGTTACTCTCTTCTTGATTTTATGTAGGAAGATGATATCTATGATGAATTGTCAAAATTAATAAAACAGGAATCAAAATTGAAGCCTGGAATAAATGTAAGTCGATAGATGCATTCATTCATCCATTCATTTCACACTAATATCAAAATTCGAAACCATTCTTCTGTTTTCTTTGATAATTCAATTTGTAGGTTTATCAAACAACTGTTCAGTATTTTTTTATTTTAACTGTTGTCAGTTCCTTTATTTTCATCATTTAAATACTTCGATATTGTTTATAGTCACAGTTTAAATGTTTACATATGATGAAGAATAGAGTAGTAGAATACTTAAAGCACATTTATAGTGGTATTGGTTCTTAACCATACGATTTTCGGAACTGAATATATTTACTGAGAAGATTCATTTTCAACGTGCAACACGAAGCGAAGGTTAAAAGAGATGAATACGAAGACATTAATCACTTGACAAAGCGTGGTCATCCTTGTTTAATCTATACATTTCCACATTAAATATATTATTCTATCTCCAGCCAAAATATGTTCTTCCTAAAGATTAAACATCATATTACGGATTGTCGTGATATGATGAGTCAGGGTAGACAATTATGTGACTTTCAAATAAGATCATATAAATTAGGTAGTCACGTAACGATAAATCCACAATTTTAGGATTAGGTCAATTGTTCTATTGTTACCAATAACGAGTTAAACCATAATTCCACATTGGTGAACCCGACTGTAGTTGATGAGTCTTAAGTAGGAAAAAGCATTTGTTATTGAATTACATTGTTAATTATGTTTGTAAATACACATGTTTGTTATATGCATTAAGTTTCTTAGAGAGATATGCAGAATAGTGATATTTAATTGAATGTGTTAAATCAAAACACCATTATCAGTTCATGAAATCATTGTCTGTTAGCCTGAGTTGTATTGGTAGAGATGAAGAGTACTTTATTAGGAACTGTTCAATAATTTCAATCAATGTTTGAAGATCTTGAGTGACATGACTAAAAATGAGTCGAAATGTACATATGTACATACATTCACTCTTAAACTTCGTAGAGACTTTGAGTTTCAAGATTATCTTATTCTTGTATAGTCTACAAGTCTATTGTTACAACTAAAATGCCAATGTTTAGTCTAAACACATAGAGCGATCCAATAAATTAATGTTTATTCGACTAGGTTAAATTATATTCTTGTTGTCTAGCGCATAAAGCGTTTTTGAGTTATTCATATTAAGTTTCATTAAAACACAAACTTTGCGCTTAATTTAAAAGGTTGTGATATAAAAAGAAGACAGATAAACAAATTATATTAATAATACAAAATATATTGAAGGTACAGTTTTGCACCGTAAATTTCATACAGTGATTCTTAATGATGGATTTGAATGAAGCAAGTACAATTAACTTAGCTGTACAACATGTGAATTCATTACTATTCCGAAGTTTCTCATCAGCTGTTTAAAACCTCTAAACAAAATAGTAAGTATGAAAAGATTAACTTCATTTGTGTCTACCAGTTTATATGAAAATGCCAAAGCAAATATTTTGGAAGAACAACATGAAGGGTAAGTGTCCGCATCTCTGAGGACATTCTACAAAAGCTTCAACCAAGTGAACAACACGTTTCCGTAAGTGTGACTGAATTTTATCTAGTTAAAAATGGGCATGGTGTTGACATCTCAAAGTCCTTCAATATGGTGAATCAACAAAGGACATCAAATGTATTATGTTTTGCTGAAGCAATTGCTGTAAAAAAGATTTAAGCCAAATTTGTGCATCTAAAAAAAGATTCAGCTATCAATCTTCCTTTGCTATGGTGAATCAATTTATGGACAACCTTGGAGCGGAGCTAAAGTCACCTAGAGAAAAATTCACCTACTTACTGGAACCAAACAAGGGTTAAAAATTGATGTTAGCGATTAAGATAGGGAATCAGAGTTAGGAGTTAAAGATTTGAGTAAGGGTTTTCATCACGAAATGACATCAGCTATTGTATCAAAGTCCTACTTGCCCATATGAATGAATGAATTTTGCGCAAAAATCCAAGACTCATTATCTTAAATTTGATTTGTTCATACATAAATTATGGTCTCGCCTAAACATTCACATTGTTCAGCATATAGACACCTATTATAATTCTTCCATAATTAACCCTCTCTTTTTATTAATCTTCACTGATAAGAACGTTTCCAACAATATGACATGTAAAGTATGCAAAGTGACTTTTTAAATGATGAATGGTATTTTATTTAGAGGCTGTAAGTAGCTGATGAGAAACCTCGAAATAGAAATGAATTCATATATTATACGACTATGTAAATTGTCCCTTCTTTGGTCGAATCTAGAATTCACTGGAAAAGAAGAGAGATCAACGAAATCAACCTTTAACAAACAAAATTTTGTAGACCAGATATTCTTTTATGTAAAAAGAAAATGGTGTTCTAGGTGACTGAGTGAAAATTGTTTATTGCACATTGGCTGGATAGTAAGCTTGTTACTAGTGAGCATATGATTATTATCTATATAGGATTGTTGAGTTTCATTGAGATCGTGAATCGATCAATGTTAGTCCATGGATGCGCACTGTTGATTAGTCTCATATTGGAACGAAATGGTTGTCCAGTGATTTCACGTTTTTAACGTTGGTCTAACTTGGATCGGTTCATCAATTCAATGATAAAAATCTAATTTCAGTATTATGATCCCTTCATATAAGTATCATTTGTTATTAATTAACAAATGTCATAACAACAAGGAATTAACATACATCATTTATATTTATTTCGTTCTTAAACGAACTCATTGCTCTATTTTAGACTAAAACTACTAACAGACGTAAGCACTGTCATTCATGTATACTGTGAATTGAGTTAATGAATGAATCTATTTTCTTAGTGAAGAAAATAATTTCACTAAAATTTTACACCTTCTGAATTAGTTGTATACTTTTTTGTATGTTATTGATATCAAAGAAAGTTTTCCGTTTGACTTATGATTTAAAGAGGCTATATGTTTATCGCACTTTATTTATTTATTTAAACACATATATATTGGTACAAAAGGGCACCAGGTACATATGCGCCACACAAAATAATGAAAGTAGGAAGAGAAGGGATGAAAAGATAAGGCGGGCTGAAATGTACAACCAGAAGACTCTTTCAGTTAAGAAAGTTAGAACCATTCTTTATGTAGAAAGTAAAAGAAGGTTGCAGCAGGATCGCCACTGGCTTCTATTCTGAGCCATATCTAATAACGTCTCTAGCCACTGTGTTGCACCATCTCTCGGACTCCATCCAGGGAGTCGTGAAGGACCAACAGAAGCTAGCCCTTCGCAGCTTTCTTTCATGCCACGACACCATATCATACACTGACCTCCTCTCCGCTTTCTCCAACCAGTCCCAGGGTCGGCAAATAATGCACGACGTGGAAGTCTCTGGGACGACATTCGTAAAACATGTCCAAGCCACCGAAGTCGGTGTTTCAAGATGGTGACACCAATTGAATTATCGTCTTTGCGCCCGAACACATGATGCCGAACCTCTGCATTACTAACATGGTGTTGCCACTGGATGTCAGCAATCCTTCGGAGACAACGATGATCAAACACAGAGAGTCGTCTAACATCCTCAACTCGGAGAGGCCAGGTTTCACAAGCATAGAGCAAAACTGCTCTCACCGACGCGTTGTAGATCCGACCTTTTACAGCCAGACTAACATCACGAAGGCGCCAAAGATGGCCCAGATTGGCATAAGCCGCTCTGGCTTTCATTATACGTGCATCAATTTCATCACTCACGCCACCACCAACACTTATATAGCTACCTAGATACACGAACTTCTCAACTACTTCAATCTGCTCACCATCCAGGGTGAGTACAGGATGAGAATCCTGCCAGTCTTGTAGGAGTACTTTGCACTTGGAGGGTGCAAAGCACATGCTGTACCTGCGGACACTGATTGCCAACTGATTAAGTGCTGATTGCATGCCTTGGGAATTATCGCACAGTAAGACAATATCATCCGCATACTCAAGGTCGAGAAGTCGTTCTCCAGGCAACATATCCACACCGCCATTACTTACATCCATCAGAGCTGTTTCCAGGATGTCGTCGATAGCAAAGTTGAAGAGGAATGGTGAGATCGGGCAACCCTGCCTAATCCCACTGCTCGAATGGAACAAGGGAGAAAGGTGGTTGTATGCCCTCACTCTGCCTGAGGTGTTCGTATACAGGGCCTTTAAGATGTTAATGAACTTCTCAGGCACACCCTTCTTCAATAGACAATCGCAGAGAACAGTCCTGTCCAACGAATCGAAGGCCGCCCTGGTATCAAGAAACACTACGATTGTTGGCCTGTGATAAGTATGACGGTGTTCTAACATTTGGCGGAGGGTGAAGATGTGATCAATGCATCCTCGACCAGAACGAAAACCAGCCTGCTCCTCGCGAGTCAATCGTTTATCGCACTAGTCGACATTTACTTTTACGACTTGTAAATTTTTGTATATCACCAATCATTATTGACTGTTCTCCATTATTCTTTCTCGAGCTTTCAAGAAAAGATTTCTCTGTATTACAGAGAGTGCTAAAGGTAGTTAGCAGGATGTGTGGTGATTCTTTTGATGTTATTATGAATATGATTATGGGTAGACATTTATAATCGTGCAGACTCCTTGAATATGTTATCTTATCAGGTTCTAACAAATTACTCCATTCACATATTTATCCTTGTATATTACCTGGTAAAATGAGACACCGATACATTACAATCCATGCAAACAAGCAAAGGTATAAAAGCTCTATAATACCATATTTAGTAAGTATACCATCCAAAGAACAGATTGTAAGACTTGACCTAATCAAAAACTTGTATTTTTAGACATGCTGCTAATTAAAAGTTGTATAGAGTCTTATCTTATTGAAAAAGACATTCCCTATAATTTCGGATAGTTTATTTATTTTATATATGATCTTGTGCAGTTATCGATCAATTTGTATTTGTTTTGCAAAAGTAACAGGTATCTACCTCAGTACATTGGAAGTTGGTTGCGCAATTTCGTGGATTGGTTGAGGTTAGACATAAACACCGTTGGATGCCAGCTCAGTGGTCTATCGGTTAAGGGCTCCGGCTCGAGACTGGTAGGTCCTGGGTTCGAATCTCGCGAGAGCGGGTTCGTGGATGCGCACTGCTGAGGAGTCCCATAATAGGACGAAACGGCCGTCCAGTGCTTCCAGGTTTTCGATGGTGGTCTAGCCTCAATTGACTCATGATCTTAACTACAAAAGTAACTTGTTGAAATAATTTGTGCTGAGAATTCCAAATTGTGCCAAACAGATAATATTGCATAAAGCTAATAATAATAATAACAGTGGTAATAATAATGATAAGGCTGAATGTCTCAATCAACGAGGAAGGATAATATTTTATTTGTAGTTAACAGAAATAGACCAATCATTATGGAAAAAGTTCGGTTATATTTAAGGTGCATACTCTTCATTTCCCTAGTCAAAATTAAATTCTTAAATATCTTACATCTTAAATTCACTTAGTATTGTTTGTTTGAATCTTCCCATTGTTGTTTATCCACTCAGCTACTGAGTCCTGATAGCCACTTGCTTGTAAAATGGGGTGAAGTTCAAATTAACTTAGTATTGTTTGTTTGTATCTTCCCATCGATTTGTTAGGACTGCAATTGATCAGTCTCTTATTGGGTTCGAGTCACAGAGTGGACATCAACTCTGAGATGCAGGTACATCCAGCTGAGTCCCAAATAGGACGAAACACGCGTCAAACTGGATTCCACTGCTAGCCACTATCCATCTTTGCTTACAATGCTTGTGAATGAAGGCTATATCGAGGCAATACGCACAGTATATATATATGCCAATTAGAGACTGACCAGTTGCAGTACTAAACATCAATGGGAAGATTCAAACAAAGTAATACTAATTGAATTTTGTCATAAACATGGTTGTTGATTTATATGACATTGAATGTTAATTATTCAGAAATATTGGTTAAACAGGTCTTTTTATTATCAATTGTTTTCAAAGAGGATTCACTGTGATATTGAATCATTTAAGAGAATTGACGTATTGTAACATCATCGTTAGAATTTGAACGAATGAACAATATGATATTGGTTATAAACCCATCACATTCAAGCTTCTTCATCTTTATTGACCGTTTAATGGTTTCAATTATTGTTGTGTTTTTTTTTACTTTAAATCACAATATCTGATTATCCATAGGAAGATGACAACCAATCAGAGTTAAGAACTTTTAAACCAATCAGAATAAAAATGGGTTTTTTTTAAATATCACTTTAGGTTGAGCAGTATTTGACTTCAGTTTGGTCACATTGTGTAGATATCCGTGACACAAGTGATAACAATGATTCTTCTTCTCTTGAGGATGATGATATACACAATGGAGGTAACTTTGTTCATAACAATCTCAATGAAAATTACCACTCTTCATACACAAAACATAATGAAAATTCTACAAACCGAATTTATTTACAAAATGATTATTTTATTAAATCATCAATAGATAGAAAAATGAAAAGTATGCCAACATTGTCAATATTACCACCGTCAAATCATATGCATTTTAATGGTGCTAATTTGAAACTAAATTCGGCTCCAGTATCTCCATGTAAATTCTTATCAAATGAAAATCGTAATGTAACGAAACAGATGATAGATAAGCTATCACTTGGCAAGAAATGGAAATCATTGGACATTGAACGAAATTTAAAACATGCAAACAAACGAATACAAACTAATGATAATAATAATAATACTATCGCTCAGGTATCGTTTCGCCCTACTAACCAAAATAGTGGTCATGATAATACTCAACTCGTTGGTGACATTGGTGATAATCAAAGTTCAATGGGTTATGTTGATTCGACCAATAAACATTTGTCGTGCACTACTAGATCGGATCAGAAGAAAGCAAGTAATTCAAAGTCAATAGTAAGACTATAATTTTTTTTCTAAAGTAACTTGATATCCGTGTACATTATGGATTATTTTTATTCCTAACTATCATTTGTTGTAAAGCTGTTAAAAATCATGGTTTACTGATCATCTGTTTTATTGTTATGACTTCTTAACAAAGGGAACAAATAACCCTATACAAGATGATAAGATCTCTCACTTATCTAAAAGTTGGTCAACAAGTATGATATATTTCGACACTTATGAGTTATCCATATTGTAATGGTTAATCTAATCAGTGAATAAATGTCACTTCTTGATATAGTTATCTAATTTGGTTAAGTCTATAAGTTAGGCGTTTCTTCCTACAACAGTAATCTTGTCTTGGGAAAACTGTTATGGAATTTCTAATGTTTATTCACGATTCACTGTATATTTATTCAATATCATATTATCCCCACAAATAAAAAAATCTAATTGTTACAAAGCTGTACCAATGACCTACAGGGAATTTATGTTTGGTTTTGAGGTTAACCAATCAATAATGGCCAGTAAAAAAGCACCTTTCATTTACGAGCTCTATAATTTAGGAATACGATAAAAATATTGGGGTTTGTGAGTTGTAAAATCATTAATCAACTTATTACTGCTAAATACCGATTATTTAGGCTGGATAAGACTTAATTATTATCTTCACATCTTTTAGGACCTAACTTCAAAACTAAAAACCCCTTGTCCTTACCTCCCAAACCTACACCTCCTCGACTTAGACTATTAACTCTAATACTTCTTGCCAGTGACTCTCAACACTAATTCCCCTAACCTTGACAATCTTAGCCTAAACAAACATCGGCCTTAACAGTTCATTTGACAAGGAAAACATCATCCGATCATTTAGAAATATGAAATGTAATAAAAGTCATTAGCTTTGAAAACAGGTTATCCGGAACAGCATTTTAAATTTGTGCGTCGTATAGCATAATTTTGATTGATCGCTCAGGGCCGTTGATATGGTATAGCACTGCTCAGTCTTTTTAAATCCCCATTTACTATTTTCAATACTTCATTCATTCATTTTTGTTATGACACTTAGTGTCCCATAGGTGATACCGATACACACTTCCTATACATGAACACCGTTCTAAAGAAAAAAGACGGAGGGTGATCAAGAAGGTTTATTTAGGTATACCGAGTAGATCTCATGTGGATTCATTTCTCTCTCTATGTCTCTGTCCGCCTCTCTTTACACGCCGTGGAAAGTTCTTCTGGAGGTACCTGAAAAGAAAACTGTTTTAGAGTTGGTCTTAGTGACCTAAGAGCATGACCGCAGTTCCCAAGGGAAAACTACTTGAGGTCGGTCACACGACCTTTTGGTGGGTTACCTCCGTGCTTGTTGGCACCCTACCTCCGGAGATGGATATCCGTGGGATAAGGCGAGGTGTGCATTTTTAGGGTCGACCTTTTCTAATCCCACCCTTCCTTGTGGGTGTTATGCTGGTTGTCTGAAGGAAACACTTTACTGCCGTCACACCTCTGTACAGTCATCAGTACGACTTCGCCCTCTGACCTTGGGTTTGCTACTTTATATATAAACTATGTTTTCAACGTTCAATAAATCTTTTATATCCATCAATTCCAACCCTGTTCATTTAATACGTGAATCTTGTTAGAATGCAATTATCACTAAGAATTTCTTTTCAATCTAATGAAATGACCCATAACCGTGTACTCTGAACATGTCCAGTGTAGCATCACAACTCAACATACCAATGTAATGTAATTTTATAGTGTATAGTGAAATCTATTACGAAAATTACGCTCTCTAATTTCCAGCACTCATTTACTAAATAAACGAAAAAAAAGTGAACGTGTTGAATGGAACACATTTACTAAACTTTGAAAACATTCCGGATAGCCTCTCAAGTTTGTTTATCAATAAATGTTTTACGCTATATATGTATTAGTACACTTTTTAGCTCGTTTATTATGATGTGTGCTACTGCTGTTGACAGTTATAAGTAGTACATATCAGTAATCGAAAGTGGAATAACTGGTGGAAAAAGTTGAGAAAATCGTAGAGAGAAGAACTAGAACAATGAATGATTGGTATAGAAACGAAAAAAAACAACGAAGTATGAGACAATTCATGGATATATCACAAATGAATTATTACTATATGGTTCTTACATTTTACTGAAAGATTCTGCTGAGGAGTCCCACAATAGTACAAAACAGTCGTCCAATGCTTCCAGGTTTTCCATGGTGGTCTACCTTCAATTGACTCATGATTTCAACTACATATAAAAATTCTGTATAATTCTGTATTAAAATACATTTGGTTGTCTCTTAAACTCTTTTAATATATATATTCCCCTTTTTCTCTTTCTCAAGGCAAATATCAAATTAGGTAAACATGAAATGAATGTTCTGTTAGATTTCAATGACATAACTAACAATTTACATAATTTCAAATTATCATCATCTCATCTCATAAACAATAAAGATGATTATTTATATAAATCATCTATGAATGATCAATTTATACCAAAACAATTATGTTTATTACCAATTATACATTGGAATTATTGTACATTGAATGAAATTGTACCATCATTATTTAAAAAGCAATTTAATCAATCTATTATAATTAGTAGTATAAAACAACAATTAATTAATTATTTAAATAAATTTGAAAATATGATAAAAAATCAAATTAATTTAATTAATTATTATTTATTAATTAATTTATTCAATAATCAATTATCTAATAAATCAATGTATTTTAATAAATTAGATCAATTAAATAGTAGATCATTAAATAAAGAAGATTTATTAGATTATTTCAATGTTCAATGTTTTAATAAAAAAAGAATGATTATATATCAACATGATGAGTGGATACAATTAATGATACAGAATTGTTTAAATTCATTAAATTTAATGAAAATTAAAATTCAATTAGAAGGTAAGTCCTGGGTTCAAATTATGCGAGTGCAGGATAATGGATGTGCACTGCTGAGAAGTCCCATAATAGGACGAGACGAAAAAGCCTTAAAGCAGTGCTTCCAGTTTTTCCATGATAGTCTAACTTCAATTGAATCATGATTTCAACTATGAAAAAATTCTAAATTCTCCACAAAACCCCTTCTGATGTATTGTTATTTGTTGTATTGGTTTATTTGTTGTTGTTTTTATCAAATTAATTATTCCGTTTGACATATCTGGAGCTTAGATTCTTAATATTATCGTGTATAACTTGAGCACTTGAACACTAGGACCCTCCAAGTTACAAATGAGAAGATAAATGAAAGGAATGCTATTTCCAAACTGTCATAGTTAGAGCTTAGATTTCTTAATGTGATTGCGTATCGCCTGAGTAGTTAAATGCTAGAACCCTTCAAGTTACAAATGAAAAGACAGAAGACAAATGAAAGGAATGTTATTCCAAACAGTATTAATTATGGTACAAAGCTGTCAGATATTTATAGTTTTTAGTAAAAAGAAAGTCGTTACTATAGTCTACCAATCCGGATACTAGGGGGTTATTTGCATTTGTCCTATAAGGAAGCTACACATAAGGATTCTGGAATATTTTTCCAAAAGATGATTGGACAGAATATCTTTTGGTTTTTCTGTCAGTCAGTCAGCTACAACGTAGGACCAGGCACATATATGCATCGGTCCAAGTTGCCATACCTCGTTAGCACAATAAGATGAACACCGAATCCATAGAAGTAGTTAATTTAGTGGTGTTAATATATAAAATAAAGATTGTATATAAGGGTTTTACTGAGCTACCTCGAATTCACCCGTGGACCGTCCTCACACTACTGAATCATAACATTCGTATAACGGAAAGTATTAACTAGTGAAAATTATTACACGAAATTATTTAACTTAGACAACTACTAGATAACAGTTTTTCTACTGGTGTTTGTAGAACTCTTTAACAGTTAATTACTTACCCCTGTTACCCCTCGTCGAGGAGCATAGGCCGCCCACCAGCATTCTCCATCCAACCCTATCCTTGGCAATCCTTTCCGGTTCTTGCCACTTAACATTCATCCTTTTCATATATGCTTCTATTTCCCGGAGTAATGTGTTCTTCGACCTTCCTCTTCTCCGTTTCCCTTCAGGATTCCAAGTTAGGGATTGCCTCGTGATGCAGTTTGGTGATTTCCTTAACGAATGTCCAATCCACTTCCAACGTCTTTTCCTAATTTCCAGCTGGAAGCTGGTTTGTCCTCTCCCATAGAACGCTATTGCTGATAGTATTCGGCTGTTGATTATTTTGCGTAGACAACTGTTTATAAATACTTGTACCTTCTTGATCATGGTTGTAGTTGTTCTCTCTTTAACAGTGCAGAATTACATTTCCCCACAGGGAGTTGGAAAAAAAAAGGATTTTTATGGTGAGCCATGAAGATTTATTCAGCTTTACTGAAAACCAATAAGCACTAACGGCGTTCTTTTTATATAAGAACTCTCGTCTAAATTAGAGCGAATAGTTTCACAGTATTTGAGCGCTGAGTTGATGTAAGACATTAAATAGGAAGAATAATATATTTGTAAAATCTCAGCGAATGAATTTGTAGTAAATCCAACGTTTCACCTGGCAATCTGGTCCAAGCTTTTTCAAGGAATTATAATCAAACATCAAAATTATCGAATATAAATAGGTACATGGTTCTCCGGGTTCATTGTACACTGAATAGGTCATCCAATCAACGTTAAAAATGTCTAAACTAGGTATATGTAATAGATGTGTGATGTGAAATGATAAGCGTTAATAATAACATATTGTATAGAAAACGTAAGTGGTGAGAGGGGAAATTACATTCACACTATATATTGTCTCTTATCGGTGAATTTATAACGTTGGATTTACTACAAATTCATTCGCTGAGATTTTACAAATATATTATTCTTCCTATTTAAAGGAGTTCTTCTTAGTTTGAGGATACCTCAGTAGTGTGAATCTATACCATTAATCAAGTAAGTTGGAATTGATCAAATTACACAAAATATCTACAAAAGTAATCTAAATGAATATCACTATATTTGTATATAAGCAAATTATCGATCCCGACATATTTACTATTTCAGAGTTAGTGTATCTATAGTAAAAAAGTATGAAAGCTGACCATCTCTCTTTTATTAAAGCGGTTTGAAATGAGAGAAAGTATTACTGATTTTCATGAGTTAACTGGAATGTACCCATTGATTCTCTGGGTTTTTTTTCTTTATTGTTCTTGTACTAGAGAAGTGTATGTGTTGAGATATTTCCAGAAAATTAGAAAAACAAACTATTAGACCATCATTGATCTTTCACATAATTGCTGAAATTCATTTTGAAAACCTATAATGCAATTCATTTATTTGTATCTATTTTTCATCATAGAATAACGTCATTTAGAATGCAAATGAAAACCAAATGTAAAAGATAACCATTCAGTCTTAGTATATGATTCTTCAATACCGAACCCTGCTTGCAATCCAGATGGGGATTAATAGTTAAAAACATTTAGGTTTTAAGACGAGCTGCTAAGCTGCCACATGAAGGTCTACATTTTGAAATGCAGTCAGTTCGTGTTCTACTGTGTTCCATCTCAGAGTAAAAAATCTTACAGATACTAGGTATTTAATGGTAAACTATCCAATGTAGATCAGTCAGCTAGTCATAAGTAGAACTTGGCAAATATATGCATCGGTTCAAGTTATCCCACCATATCAGTATGGTGCGAAGAAAAAATCAAGACAAACCCCAGGGTAGTAAAACCAGAAGGAGTAACAGTAGTAGAAAAAGATTAAACATAAACGACATTATGATACAAGAGGAAAAATTAGATTCTTAGGATAAACATTATAAGATCATTTTTAGACTCAAGATCTGATGGAAGACATAGAATACATCCATCCGCGCCAGCATCACATATTCTTAGCCATGTTATCCAACACCACTAATCATTGGTTACGGCAACCACTCTGACTCTAACCAGACAACCTTTACCTATTGACATTACTTATTTACTTACTCATGTTATTCCTCGTGGAGGAGTATAGGCCGCCCACCAGCGTTCTCCATGCAACACTGTCCTGAACAATCCTTTCCGGTTCTTCTCGGTGGCTATTCATTATTTTCATGTCTGCTTCCAACTCCCGACGTGGTGTGTTTTCTAGCCTTCCTCTTCTTCACCTTTTGACATAGCTAAGTCTAAACAGTCAGTTACTTCGTAGGCTGATATCACTCCATGATTAGTCTACTTCTACTTTTCCTTTAACTTAACTATACCAGTTTGTAATAGAAAATAATTAACAAGTTGAACTACTTAAAAAGACTTCGTAAACAAAGTCTATCCCTTTACTTATAAAAACATTTAGGTGATTATTTGCCCAATGAAGACATATGTAAACAATTTGAAAATGGTTTAATGAATAAATTTATTCGTGGTTTACGAATAACACGTTTATTAAATCGAATCAAAAGTCGACTATTAATAAATCATGGTTATTTATTGAAAAGTATAATTCAAATGATACCGAAGTAAGTTAAACCATTAATAGTTTTTTTTTCTTGAAATATTGTTTGAAAGATGATCATAACCACTTTGACTGTCTTGTCGATCAATTGATTAAATGACTTCAACTACATTAACTGATTACCATCTGTTGAGGATGATCATCGTCATTAACTGATTACAACTTGATAGCGATTGGAAAAGTAGTACATATGTTTTATTTAAATTCTGGACTCCTCAATAGATGAAGTAATGAAAAGATGAAGATGATCAACAATTTAGGTAGATGGTTTCGGTGTTATTCATTTTACTGAGTTGAGTGGATTGATTGCAGATATTTCATTGCTGTTTTGGATAACATTATCAGCGTTTACTTCATGTAGAAGTGAGCTTTTTTGGTTATTTGTTAAGGGCTAAAATAAAACACATCCTGATGGCTCTGGTTATGATGGATTGTCTTTATAGCTTCCCTTATTCTGATTTGTCCATTAATTTTTATGAACTGTCTTGTCTGATTGACTTCTGACTTAGTGATTGATTGACCTTATCTATATGGGTTGTTAAATAGGATCTACGTTGATGCGCCTACTTATTGTTAGTTACTTGAATTACATGCTTCTAGAAATCCCCTGCCAGTCGGTACTTTATCGATTTAGAATATTGGCGTATTTCCAATCGGTGTACAAACATAAACATGCACAAATAAGACTATCAGGATAAACCAATTTGAGGCTTGTGGAATAAGTAAAAAGATCACCCTCACATGAAGTAAAGAGGTAATGATATTCTCTTAAACGACAACGAAAGCTCCACAACAAAATCACTTTTATGCAGGGTATTCACAACAGCAAACGATCAATTAATGGATACTTTAAGTAGCAGATCCTCTAGATCTTACTATTTTATGGAAACAATATTAATAAACCAGCCGATTCAGTCAGTCACAACGTAGAACTTCGTACGTACGTACATCAGTTTGAGTTGCCATACCACATTAGCACAGAGATGCAGTTGTCGATTCAAATTCCATAGTGGTAGAAGTAGTAAGAGTATAAGCATTATGTGAAACATTAGGGTTATTCAAGGAGTATAATACAGTGAAATAAATTTGGAAAGAGAAAAAGGATGGGGACATGAGGAATTCAGAAGATTAGAATTTAGTAGAACACACAAAGAGTGGATGCACCTTCGCCATTCCAAACGATTTTGAGCCATGTCATTCAAGGTCTCTAACCATCAATTGCTATCATCTCGTGGATCCCAACCAGGTAGTCTCCACCTACCAACGTGGCTCAGCCTACATGTCAGTGACTTCATGGATTTATGCCATGTTTCGGTCTGGTCCAACCTACTTCTACGCCATAAAACATTACACGTCGAGGAAGTCGATGGTTGAGCATACGTAACATGTGTCCCAGCCATCTCAAGTGATTAAGTTTCACTACTTCATCAATTGATTTGCCACCCTTACCTCGTACCCGTTTCCTAACAACTGCATTACTTACCCGGTGGTCCCAGGATGTACGAGCAATGCTTCGAAGATACCTATAATCGAATACTAGGAGCCTACGAATATCTTCTACTCTTACCGGCCATATTTCACTGCCATAAAGTAGGACGAAACGAACTTCTGCACAGTAAACCAGCCGATTGATCCATTAAAATCTTCTTTATTAAAGTCAGTTATGTCATTCTATGCCAAAAATATTCATTTATCTATACTGACTTTCTATTTGTTTAATTTTTTATGTAAAAATTCCAAAGAGAAGAACGGTTCTTCAATAGAATTTCATTATTTTGATTGTTTTGGATGAAGATCATAGTGATAACATAATATCAGATAAAATTAATTTGGAACGTTATCTTCGAACATGTTCCATTGAATAGTATCTGCACTTAGAAACTGGATAGTTTAGTATATATTGTCTTCACTTGTCATCCTATACAGCAAAATCAACACACACGCTTTTACTGAATCAATAAGAAGTAAACAATAAGAACCCCATCAACTCATTATCTAAAGATAGTCTAATAAGTTCTGACGGAAATTTGCGTCATGAATTGACTGTATTTAGACAAATATAGAAATTTGTAGAGTACTGGACAAATGTTTTGTCCTAATTTGAGACTGGCCTCCTTAACAGTGCCCTCCAACAACCTTACCTTAGGTGGAACCAAGGGATTTCAGGGTTCACGAAAAGCGCTTAACCTTTGGGTCATTGAGTCACATTTGCTTCCTGAGTCACTTCATTATATTATGTGACCGTTATCTATTGATGATGGTGATACTTGTCTCACTGCTTAAGAATCACATACTGAGATGAAAAAACTGTCTGAAGTTCTCTAATTTTCAATGGATATCTAAGTAATGCCACGGTTCTTTAATGCATTTCCCGGTACGGTAGTGGTAATCCAACTTTTATTACCTTTTCCAAACATTTTCTTCATTGGATTGAATAAATCTTACGAATTTAATCCTAGAGGCTTTAACGACACAGTATTTTCTAACGTGGGTCAGTTTAGGTTAGGAGTATGTGATTATAGGATACAACGATCAGTCCTCCACGATCTATATGTCGAGTTCTTGAAAACCATAGCGGATCAGTGGCTTAAGACGTTATCAGATAAGGTTTTAAAGAACAGAAATTACTTAATGGGGCTAGTCGTAATGAAATCTTTATGAATTATAAATAAATATAAGGAATATTCTATCTTATCGACTGAATCTTATTCGAGGAATCGAAATTCAAACACTTAAACTTCGTCGATTAGATGTGATCAACACAGGTGACTGAGTAGAAAACTTTACTTGTCAAAAACCAAATAATATTAATAACTCAGTGGGTATGCTGACCAAGATAACGATGTAAAGACTATGACCTTCGCTACGAAGATAATTCCCTCACACGAAACTTTTTATTAATTATTGTATTTCATCGACTATGTGATACATCTTATGATCAATCTGGTTGCATTTGGCTTGTATCTTCCCTCAGTATTTTAGATATATCGATCTTACAAGTACTAATTATCTCGAAACGTAAAAAACCAGAATTTCTTAGAGATAATGTTCAACTGCCTGGCATTAATTTAATTAACACCTAAAGGTTGTCAAGTTTCTATATCATGGGAGTGCATCACTGCAAAGTATTTAACTTATGAACAGTCTAGTAATTTATAAAAACTACATTTAACCTCAAATCTCTATTGGTATATATGCAACCTAAACGGATTGCTTCGACATTGTAATTTAGTTACAAGTTTTTAGTGTTATTGGATACCGACTATCCGTGGAATCCAGGGTGAGCGTTTGAGCCTATTCGAAACTCGTCAGCTGAATACATTTTAATCCCCACATTACTAAAAACTTTTGACCAAATGTCAAAATAGAGACAACGCACATATGCCAAAAGTAGACTGGTCAGTTACAACTTTAACCGTCAATAGTAGTGGAGTAAAAATCTTTAGAAATAAGATTCATACCTGTTTTACAAGCTCGTAAATATTTGAACTCAATAGCTTATCTTGTTGAGCGTTTGAAGCGAAAGAATTTATTGAGAACCTTGATGTGGGTATCACTATAGATGCTCTTAAATCCAACTAACTTGTCACTAATATCAACAAACGCCAATCGTCTATTCCACTACTAGCCACTATGCAACCCCTTCATAAATACTCATTTCAAACGACAGTGAATATACGCTCCCAATATTATACATGTATATAATACATTTCTTTATATAATTTTTATATCAATCTATTTTAGTCTATCAATAGTGAATGAAACAATAATGGAGATGCCCATGAAATATTTACTTACTGAACCATTGTTAAATGTTGAAGAATTATGTTGTAAACATTTTCTTAGACTTTGTATAGAATCTTTTATTTTAGATTATTTGAAATATTTAGATGGATTAATCAAAACTACTGATAACAATGAGGATAGTATACATTTCAAAAAGATTACTTAAAACATATATTTAGACATAAACAATATTTTCATAGCTGAAATTATGAGTTAATTGAAGCTAGACCACCATGGAAAACTTGGATGGCCGTTTCGTTCTATTATGGGACTCCTCTGCAGTCCGCATCCCATAATAGGACGAAACGGCCATCCAAGTTTTCCATGGTGGTCTAGCTTCAATTAACTCATAATTTCAACTATCAAAACATTGAAATATCCACAAAACCCCTACTGATCTATAAACAATATTGTCTGTCTTAAAAATAAATCACATTCTTTCTAAGATATATGTCATATTCTATTGTTATCCTACTGAAATACATATACACATACGTTTCCTGTAAATTGGGCCCCACACCTGCCATGCGTAAGAGAGGGAGACAGAGAGAGAGCTGATAAATAACAGATAAGAGCTAAGATTAGCTAACCAAATAACTAGATATACAAATCATTAGCACCTTTATACAACCGTCCTTTTGTTTCAGACAAAGAGATTTATTCCAGACCTTAACTACGACAAGTGGTGCGGTCCGAGTATTTTTCAATAGCATGTGGTTAGTTTATCGAAATATGGATAAATTGAAATATCTCAACAGTACAAGTTTATTACTACCAAAATGACCACCTAAAAAGATACACACCAAACCGTTTGATTCTAGAGGTAGAATGACTATTGCGGTGTCTCTAGGTTTAAGGAGGAGGAACTAATTACACAAAATTTGACTAAATTACATATAATAACTTTTCAAAATCTTGTAGGTCTATCTCAATCTTGCCGGTTACTTTCATAGGTTATTAAATAACCTTCTTCTGAGATAAATATATGAAAGGAATCTGTAAGTACCTGTGAAGTGAAATGTAATTTTCTAGAAGTTTATCAACAAATGCAATAAATCGTGTTTTTTCAAACTATTAACTAACTAATCAAACTATCAAAATACTTCAGTTAACATTTTATTTTACAATTACTGATAGAAAAATTCATTAAAGTTATTTCGATTAACATGAAGCTCTTCAGCTAACCTATCACTTATGATTTCCAATAACATGACTATCTATTACATTAGTAGTTTACAATAGCTACATTTTGTTCATATGATAAGAATACATCATTTCATCTTTGAACTCAGTAGATTAGTGAACTTTGTGTCCTAATTTGGAGCGATGAGTATTGGGTTCACCGAATGGGATTCAATTATAACTTCGAATATTATGAAAGACACATATCTAATCACACTCCAGAAATATAGTTAGAATTTTAACTAGAGACACTATAAAGGTTTTTACATTAGATGAATATACATGCCAGGACATATTAATCAAATAAAACGCTGAATATCATTCATGCAGAAATACAAACCTTTATAAACTTGAAATTATTTATTACTGACGTACATCACTGAAGTGATTGGTTCCAACTGTTATCCACGACTAAACTTGGTCTTAATAATGATGACTGATAGTCATTCCTCGATTTACAAGATTTGAACAATATTTTGTGTAAAAATGCACAAGTGACTTTAACAACTGTTAACTATTCGTATGAAAAAAACAAACACTATATCTCAGCAACAGTTTATCAAAGGAATTTGTTTAAATGTTATAAGGACAGTCCGGATAGTTCTTTAATGAAGTCTTTCTGAGGGTGATACAAACATAACTTGAAAAACTGACTGATCACTCACTAGTGGCCGTCGTCATGACTGTATAGCCCTTTAAAGCTAACCGAATTTCATCATTCAAGTTGCAATATGACTATTCCAAGCGACTCATCATCGTGTTGAAACGTAAGATGGTGGTTGAAAGTAGTTGACACAAAAGCTGATTCCAGGTTTTGTGCTATTCAATGCTCACCAGCAAGGTGTACCTGTTATCCTTAGGGCAGTGATGCCCCTCGATCCTATGTGGAGTGAATCGGACCTGCATTAGGAAGAAATTGTTACATAAAGTCTCGGTCACTATTAAGAAAGCCATTAATTATAGGTGCGTCTGTTCTACAAGATGCTAGTTATCGCATGAAGAGTTCAGTGGTAACGCCACTAACTGTGAAGTTAAATGACACATGATTGAATCCACCAGTACAAATCAGCATCTTCAAGATAACAGGTAAATGTTGTAAACGAATACAAGACAACAAGAAACCTAAGTTTACTGTAGTTTCCAAACACCACTTTATGACTACGGATATTTTGCACCTCAAAATTCCAGTTACCTATTAATGTGTTTAGAAACAATACATTTCCCTTTATATTTGTCTAGTCACTTAACGCATGGAGTTAAATAAACAAAATGTGGAAATTTAGGCGGATATCGTAGTATCTAATAACGGTGATAATGCATTTACAATAAGTCGACAACCGCAAACCGAATGCACCTATTGCCAGTATAACATTCAGGAAAGCAAAAGTTCAGAAGCATTGTCCTAAATACCTCACACATATGACTCGAAATTTCGGGAATCACGGACAACGCGCAACACAATAAGGCTCTTCTTTATGCAATATTCATCGAAGTCTGGTATAACCAAGCACTAATCACAGAATGTATCTCACGAGATAGAGTTAACATTGCGAAAATAAGAGAAACGAACATGATTTAAAATAGGTAAATGAACAACGATAATCCATCAAATGAGCTACAATTCGCATAACAACGCGGCGGATTTCTAGATAATAGAGTTCTTTCCACTATTGCGGAGGGAATAGGAGAAATTCCGTCAAGACCGCCAGTAGATATTTTCCCCCGAAACTTATAAGTGTACCAAAACTTAGCTTGCAAAAGAGACAGATATGTCGCAAGTGCCTCACGCAACATCGTAATGTTTTCGAGCTATGCAGGCGGGCAATTAGGTGACGGCAGATAGCACTAGGATTCTGGTCAGCATAGGAAACCAATGAATTTACTACAGCTGAGAGGAAAATACAGTTATCGGATATCAGTTTGACCAAAAACTCGTGAGTTCAGGTTTAAATGAGTCTTACTATGGAAAAATGAAACTCGACTTGACTTACAAGACTATAGGATCAGCAAGCCAGGTCATGAACTGTCGACAACCATCTAGCCTCAATTCCAATAGTAACGCAGTAAACACCACGGGTTGTGAGCGACAACATTGACTATACAACGATCCTAACTAATGAGTAGCTGCAAATAGTTCACCCACCTTTACAAAATAAGCATTAACTTCCATATTGTTTGTTATCACTCCTAGGTATCTAGATGAAGGTACGCCCTAGGACGCTGATATTTTGACAATGAACTACCAGGAACATGTTAAGAGATAGCCACTTCCATACAGACGTGAGATCATCCATAAGCACCAATATCGGAAAAAGTAAGTGACCGTTGAAAACGTTCTAACTGACAATTTCGACCACCAAAGTTAGCACCCTCATTACATACAATACTCAAATACCTAAAAGCGAGAAGTCATACTACTCTGATTTACCAACTTCAGATAAACGCTTGCCGAGTCAACTTTGCTGTTGGGACTGAGTTTTTGGCGGAACACAATATCAAGATAACAGTTTAAAGGCGTTTTACTATCAACATAGAGTCAGTCTTACTGTAATAAGGACAAACACTTAAGATGGTAGCCAATTACGGTAACATACCCAATAAGTCGCAATAACAACTACGTACCTAGTTAGCCAACTATAAATTTGAATACTCAAAAACCAACACGAGGCCTTCGCATCGACAACCTCAGCCAGTCAGTCAGCGACAACGTAGGACCAGGCACGTTTACGCATCGGTCCAAGTTGCCATAGCTCGTTAGCACAAGATCAACACCGGCATCGACAACCTAATGTTATAATACAAACTTTGAAAGAATTTTATTCAACAAAAATTGTATTTGTGAGGTTTACGTTTGTTGCAAACCAAAGTACACATAGAAAGACAGAACTGCATGATCCCGTAGTCAATCTGAAAAAGAAAAAAAATCGTGTGACAATATGTATTGGAAACTTCAGACTCATTAATCCAGCTAACATTAACCGACATTTAATACGGACAACAACAATCATCATTAAACTAACCTAGTCCACATACAGTTCAGCTTTCACCGGCAATCTTTGGCAGGAATTTTTGAGCATTAGGAAAAAGACCATTTTTGCGGTACTGAGAGTTCCCGAATACATACAGTAACGCCTCCCCAATGACAATGCTACACCAGACTTGATTAATTCAACAGCTTGTGATTCACATTGCACGCTTAATCTTCGAATGATGATTAGTTAGTTGTAGGGCAGCGCCTAAGGAAGAAACAATTGGTTATCATTTGACTCAGAGACATTGTAAATCATGTTATCATAGGATTGACAGATTGTGAAGTTACATCACGTAACCAACGGATTCCACTACTTACCTAGAAAATATATAAGAGTAGAGATAGTGACTTGGGCATGTCAAGTGAAAAATACGCGAAAAAAACTGCATGAAACCTCAGACTTCTCCTAAATCAGCGCAGCGCATTTTCACACGGTGGGTTCTAACCGTGCTGTGAACAATCACCAAAAATTACGCTCTGAGAACGGAGAATTGTCATCACTACATTAGTACGCAACCAACACTCACATACCTGTCATGCTCACCATGCGCCTGCGTCATGCTGCACGCCACAACACTCAAGTATATATAGGCACTTTTGACAATGCACAAAAACAAAGAATTGTGTACGACTGAATGTTCAATATATTGCATTTTATTAGAAAGGTGTAGTTTTTTTAATTTCCATAGCTTCTGAATCAACGGAGTCAAAATCAAATTCCGATCATAAATATCATAGTTCATATTACTGATAATGTCTATTCAAATGGTTTTGGACGGAATAGATGAAGCTTTCGCTTAACTGGCTTCCGTGTGTAGTAGCAGTGGATCACCAGTAACTCCAGACAGAAACCTAGGTATATTATCGATAAAAGAGTAAAAAGAAATAGTAACTCATAGTAAGATGCCGTTCTTAGTCCTTAAGAATATATCAAGTTTTCTCTTAAAGACTCC